AATAATGTAGTATCCTGCCTGGCACACTATCAGTTTATCATGATCACCAGTGATCCACGCATTGTCAAATCCAGTCCATTTTCAATCTCCATTGTATGTAATCCATCAGTAACTTTTAACACAGGTGATTACTCCCTCTTCCTTGAAATAAATCTCTTCACTTGGCTTGTGGGATTCTACTTCCTCTTGGTTCTCTCATTTCACTGACTGGCTGTTCTTCTCAGCCTAATTGATACATTCTTTTAATTTTCTTAAATTCAAAATATTGGAGTATCCAAAGGACTCATTCCTTGGACCTCTTCTCTGATACTCTAGATGATCTCATAGTCCCATAATTTTAAATGCCAAATATAAGTTAGTACCATAACATTTATAAAGCAGCCAAGTCCTCTCCTGAGCTCTAGAGACTCACATATCCAACAGATTACTCAACATTTGTACTCAGATGTTTAGTTAACAATGTAGATTTAACACATCCAAAACTTCATACTTGACTTGCCTTCCCCCAAACATGCTTCTCCCACATTTTTCCCTATAGTAGTAAACGTCAACTCCATCCTTCCAGTTTCTCAGAGTCTCCCTCACACAAGCATATTCAATCCACTTAGGAAATCCTGCCCATTCCACCTTCAGAAGTTATCCAGAATCCAGTCCCTTTTTACCACCACCACTGCTACTGGTCTCCCTGCTTCCACCCTTATTTCCTTGTAGTCTCTTCTCCCTACAGACAAGAGTGATCTTTAAAAAAAAAAACATCATGTCACTTCTCTACATTAAAAGAGAACACGTTACCATGGACCTATGTGGTTTAGACTTCTATTGTTTTCTGATCATGTCTCCTATCACTCTCACTGTACCCACCATCACATTGTACCTATTCTGTTCCATCCATACTGACCATTTTGTGGTTCCTCATATATGCCTCAGGTCCATTAGCTTTGCAAGGCATTTTCCTCTGATATCTACAGGGCTCACGCCCTCACCTCCTTCAGTTCTTTGCTCAGTTACCACCTTTTTTTTGAAGGCCACCCTGTTTAAAATTGCAAATCACCCAAAGGTCTAACACCCTTCCTGTTTTATTTATTTATTTTTCATAGCACTTACCACCATCTGATAATCTTTTACTTAATTTATTGTCTATGTTTCCAAACTTAAATGTTAGGTCCATATTGACAGAAATTTTTATCTGCTGTTCACTGCTGTATTCCCAGTACCAACAATACATTTGTTTAATGAGTGACTAATTTTTTTCATTTTAAAACTTTATCAGGTGCTACACAGTTTATGCCTGACCCCAAGCTCATGGATCACGGGCAGTCCCATCCAGAAGATGTAGATATGTACAGCACTAGAAGCTGAAGTAGTCTGCATAGAGAACTGCAAGATGTGTGAAGTTGAAAATAATGATGAAAAAAAATCATGTAAAGGGTAACTGTGACACAAAAAGTATCACTTTTTTTTTAGGATATAACTTTTAAACAAAGTTTTTCCCTCACATCTGATACAATGTACAGTTTGACCAGTCACATAAGGGATTAAAACACAAACTGTAAATTTAATCCAAACAATATTAAATGGTTGATGAAGAGGCAGAAGTAGAAGTTTTGGGATGCATTTGATAATTTTTAAGAGTGTTTATAAAAAAAACAAAAATAGAGTAAACATAAATACTGATGAAATATGTATGTGTATATATAAATATTTATACAGATACATATACATATTTGCTTTAGATTTTTCAAATTATTGTTAGCTAAATTAGAATGGTGTATAGAAGGATGTGTTCCTCTGCTTTTTTTTCATCCCTCAGAACTGGAATAAAATATCCATATTTTATGACATGTGGGTTGGCTTTGTCTCTTTGTTTTATTAATGTCAACTCCTCTTAAATGTCCAAAAACACTTCTAACTATTTAAGAGGACCATATTCTACAAGGGACTCCAATGCTGCTTAGAAATCCTACTGGTTCCCTTAGGTGGTTTCCTATTCTGTTCCCCAGGAGAAGTATTACAGACCTTTTATTCTCAAGCTAGACATGACCATTTTTAGCCTTTCCCTTCTACCTTCAAGACTTACCTCTTTTCAGTCATGCATCCCCCTTGTCTAAGGCTAGTGCTTGTGTTTCTGATCTCATTCTTTCCCATGTTTTCCAGTACCATATTCTATCCTGTTTAATCTACAGTCTTTGGTTTCTCTTTTCATTCATTTCTTTTCCTCAATCTCTAAATAGCTTCTGATCTTTTTTGTCTAAAAATAGTAACTTGATGGGATGAGCACTGGGTGTTATGCTATATATTGGCAAATTGAACTCCAATAAAAAATAGGTTTGCAGCAAAAAAAAATAAAAATAAAACTATACCGAGCTATAAAAACAAACAAATAAATAAATAAATAAAGTAACAAAAAAACCTTTCTTTAACTCTGCCTCTTTCTCTCAAGCTGTCTTCACTTTCTCTGTCCTATGATTGCCATACTTGATAAAAAAAAAAGTGTCAGTTCCATACTTCCTCACTTTTGATTCCTCTCCAACTTTCTGCTGACTCCCTGGCCTCTATACCTATTTGAATTTTCTGTAATTATTGACTCTCAAACACTCCCTCCTTGAAACTCACTCCTCCCTTTGCTCTCTTGTCATTCTTCATTCTTCTCTTGCTCTGAATCAAAATACTGTAGCTCTTCTAGTTGCATTCCTAGTCATCTTTTCTCATTCTGTATGCTCTCTCATTTTCATTCAAAATACTTTACTGACTTTAGCCAACATTTGTATTTCCTTACCATTTATATGTCCAGCTACAATATTTCTTTAGAGCTGTAGACCTATTTTCTAATTATTTATTATTCAATCTACCTTACATCCCATCAATATCCCCAGTGTTAATATGCCTAAAACTAAATTGCCTCTACCTCTCTCTTATTTATGTGTTTTTCAAATCTGCCCTACCTTTTATACTCTTTCCTAATCCATGCTCCCATTCAAGTTTTCATCATCACCTTCCTGAATTATTAGAATAGCCCTCCAGCTGCCCTCCATCAATCTTGTTTTCTGTCACTTCAGAATATGTTCTGTTTGCAGGTAGCAGTAAACCAATTAACAGTGAATAAGAGTCTACTTAATGTCCAGAATTAATACAGGGATTCATTCAGTAGCTCATTAGTGCCATCAAGGACCTAAACATTTTCTCTTTCCATTCTGTTCTTTAGTATGTGAATTTGTCATCTCATGGTCACAAAATGGCTGTTGTTCCTCTGAGGAATACATGCACATTCAAAGTAGGAAGAAATTAGGACAAATTCTGCTATATGCTTCTGACCCTCTATTATCAGAAAAGTAAATGCTTTCTTAGAGCCCCTCTCAGAATTCTTGTCTATATCTTTTTTTATTTATTTATGATAGTCACACACACACAGAGAGAGAGAGAGAGAGGCAGAGACACAGGCAGAGGGACAAGCAGGCTCCATGCACCGGGAGCCCGACGTGGGACTCGATCCCGGGTCTCCAGGATCGCGCCCCGGGCCAAAGGCAGGCGCCAAACCACTGCGCCACCCAGGGATCCCCTCTTGTCTATATCTTAACCAGAGCTTACCATGTAGCCACCTTAGCTCAAGGAAAATTTGCAAATCATATTTTTTCTATGGTAAGGAAGGCAAGGAGTAAGGAATATGGAATGAGTGTTGAGCTTCAGCTAACATAGTGTTCACTACCCTATTCTTATAACCCATCTGACATGTTATAACATACTGCCTTTCTAAAAACCATATAGTTAGTTGGCTCTCTGAAATCTTCAGTGGCGCATAACTGCCTAAACAGTTAAAACAAGACTCCCAAGCATGACATACAAGGCCCTTATGATCCCAATTCAACTTTAATCCTATCTTCCCTCTCCTTTCCCACCTTACTGCCAATGTACATTATATTTTATCTATGACATATCACTTGCTCCTTGAACATGCTTTGTTATTTTAAGTTATTTTTTCTGCCTATGCTGGTATTTCCTCTTAGAATTTTTTTCTGTTCCATATTCCAACTTCCTATTCATCCTTCAAACCCAATTACAGTGTCACCTTTCTCAGTCCTCCAAGGTAGGATTTAAATGTTCTCTATTCTACATTCCCTTACACTTGGTGTTTATAGCTGTGACAACCCATCCAATTAATTATAAAACTAAAACTAGTTAAGTAATTTTCACAGACAAGACTCCTTGTGGGTATGACTGAATCATTTTTGTGTAGCTTTTATGCTCATGAAATACCTGGTACACAGTAAGAACTCACATGTTCTATGCTAGTTGCAACACAGGATATAAAAGGAATTATAATTCTATCATAGGGCTTATATTTCTACCAGAGAGGAAAGAAATATATGCATATATAGTTTTATATGTAGTATCTTCCCTAAGATATATACAACCAAAGAGCTGTAAATGCTCAGAGATAAAATGCAGTTCTGAGATGATGTTAAGGAGGCAGTGGTACCTGAGCTACTCAAGATAGGGAAATAGTTCACTTACTAGTTTTCATAAGTAAGCTTCTCAAAATTTAGCTTCAGTATTTTAAATGAATTTTTTGTACCTCAGATCTGTTTATAATCAAATGAATCCATATTTCATCAAATCTAAGATACATTATTTACCTCTAAGAAAAAAGTGAGACCACTTGATCATTATACTTATTCCAATTTTAGCTGTTAAGATGTGAAAATATAAACATTTTAAATTTAGTGAGATACGGTAGGTAAAAAATATACTAACACCAACTATAAAGTGATTCTTGGTTTATCTACTCTTTTGGATCATCAGCTATGCTACTAGTTATTAGTAATTAGTTTGGAAAAAGGCAAGTTGATTGTATCTGCCAAATCTGTTTCAAAGTAAAAGATCTGCTCAAACCAGAGTTTGATCACTTGCTGTATTGTACAACACTCAAAGTCAAACTGCTGTTGGACTCAGGTGACATTCAAATGTTGGAGCATATGTTGGGACAAATTGAGATGAATCCTCTTTCAGCCTTCCTTTGCCATATCCATGAGTTCTTCTCTGTTAAATCTGAACAGATGCCAGCCCTCCTCAGACGAAAGGTCTAAAGCTCCTCGACGAGTGTAGTAGTCAATAGAAGCTTGGTTCCAAATGACAACAAGAAAGTGCATGCAGTTACACTGGCTTCTGATGGCTATCTGTTTAAAAACAAATAGAGATTACTTTTACTTGAAAGCATAGTCTTCATTAATACATTTATTTTATTAAAGGTCTACATGCAAGGCACTATGTATACTTCCAAATAATAATATAATAGTTAACTCTTGGACTTCTCTAAAACTATAAGAAACTTTCTTTGAAAAGTACAGAAATGATTTGCAAAGTCTACTAATTGGTTTTTCTAGAAATCCAATACAGTTTTTTCCTTTATTCTATAGAAAAAGTTCCTAAAATTTCATATGCATCTCCAAATTACAAAAGGATCTTATTTTTATACTATGCTTTTTTTAATTCAAGTATGATTAACATACAGTGTTATATTAGTTTCAGGTGTACAGTATAATGATTCAGAGGTTCTATATATTTCTCATGCTCATCAAGTTAAATCCACTCTTAATTCCCTTTATCTATTTCACCCATCCCCACCCACCCACCTCCCCTCTGGCAACCACCAGTTTGTTCTCTGTATTTAAGAGTGTTGTTCTGTTTGACTTTTTTTCTTTGTTCATTAATTTTATCTCTTAAATTCCACATATGAATGGAATTTGGACAAATACAAAGTATTTGTCTTTCTCTGGCTTAATTTCACTTAGAATTATACCCTCTGGGTACATCCATGTTGTTGCAAATGGAAACATATCATTATTTTTATGTCTCAGTAATATTCCATTGTGTGTATGTGTATATATATGTAAATATACATACCACATCTTCTTATCCATTCATCTGTTGAACACATGGGTTGCTTCCATAGCTTGGCTATTATAAATAATGCTACAGTAGACATAGGGGTGCATATATCTCTTTGAATTAGTATTTTCAACTTCCTTAGGTAAATACTCAGTAGTGGAATTACTGTATCATATGGTAATTCTGTTTTTAAATTTTTAAATCCCTATACTGTTTTCCACAGTGGCTGCACTACTTTGCATTCTCAACAACAGTAAACGAGGGAGGGTTCCTTTTTTTTCCATATTCTTGCCAACACTTGGTATTTCTTATATTTTTTATTTTAGCCAGTCTGACAGATATAAAGTGAGAGGTCATCCTAGTTTTAATTTGCATTTTCCTAATGATGAATGATGTTGAGCATCTTTTCATGTGTCTGTTGGCCATCTGTATTCTTTGGAAAAATGTCTATTCAGATCCTCTGACTGCTTTTTAATAGATTTTTTTTTCTTTTTTGTACTGGGTTGTATAAGCTCTTACATTATTTTAGGTATGAACCTGGTATTAGAGCTATCATTTGCAAATATCTTCCCCCATTCAGTAGGTATCCTTTTTGTTTTGCTGATAGTTTCCTTTCCTATCTAAAAGGATTTTATTTTGCTATAGTCTCAGTAGTATAATTTTTTTTTTGTTTCCTTTGCCAGATGAGAAAATGTTTCTCATCTCAGAAACATAAAAAAAATGTTTCTATGGCTGATGTCAAAGAAATTACTGCTTATGTTTTCTTCTAGGAATTTTATGGTTTTGGGTCTCTCATTTAGATCTTCAATTCATTTTGAGTTTATTTCTGTGTATGATGTAAGAAAGTGGTCAAGTTTCATGATGTACTTAGCTGTCCTGTTTTCCAACACCATTCGTTGAAGATACTGTCTTTCCCATTGCATATTCTTTGCCTTCTTTGTCATAGATTAAGTGACCATAGATTAAGTGACCATAAAGTGACCACATAGATCTATGTGTCTATTTTTGTGCCAGTACTAGACTCTTTTCATTATTTTGTAATATATCTTCAAATTTGGGATTGTGTTACCTCCAGTTTTGTTCATTTTAGAGATTTCTTTGGGTATTCAGTGTCTTTTGTGATTCCATACATATTTTAGGATCATTTACTCTAGTTCTGTGAAAAATTAGTTGGTAGTTTGATGAGGATTGCATTAAAGTTGTAGATTGCTTTGGAAAGTATGGACATTTTAAGAATATGGTTCTTCCACTCCATGAGCATGGAATCCCTTTCTATTTGTTTGTATCATCTTCAGTTTCTTTTATCATTGGTTTATAGTTTTTTTTGTTTTTTTTTTTTTATTTTTATTTATTTATGATAGTCACACACAGAGAGAGAGAGAAGCAGAGACATAGGCAGAGGGAGAAGCAGGCTCCATGTACCAGGAGCCCGACGTGGGATTCGATCCTGGGTCTCCAGGATCACGCCCTGGGCCAAAGGCAGGCACTAAACTGCTGCGCCACCCAGGGATCCCTGGTTTATAGTTTTTAGAGCACAGATTACTCACCTCCTTGATTAAGTTTATTTCTAGATATCTTACAGTTTTTAGTCCAATTATCAATGCAGTTGTCTTCTTAATTTCTCTTTTTACTTCTTTATTAGTGTATTAAAATGCAACAGATTTTCATATATTGTATCCTGTGACTTTACTGAATTCATTTAACAGTTCTAGTAGTTTTTTGCTAAAGTCTTTCTTTATGGTTTTCTACGTACAGTATCCTGTCATTTGCTTCTTCTTTACCAGTCAGATGCCTTTTATTTCTTTTTCTTGTCTGATTGCAGTGCTAGGACTTGCAGTATGATGTTGAATAACAGTGGTAAGAGTGGACAGTCTCATCTTGTTCCTGATTGTAGGGGAAAAGCTCTGTTTTTCACCATTTAGTATGCTGTTAATTGTTGGATTTTTCTATATGGCATTTATTGTGTTGAGGTATGTTTCCTCTAGACCTACTCTGCACAGTTTTTGTCATGAATGGATGTCGTACTTTGTTAAATGTTTTTGCTGCAACTATTGAGATGATCAAACGGTTTTTTTTATCCTTTCTCTTGTTGATGTGATGTATCACATTGTTTTGTGAATATTAAACCACCCTTGCATCCATGGAATAAATCCCATTTGATCATAGGAAATAATTTTTAAGTGAATAGTTGGATTTGGTTTGCTAATATTTTGTGATGATTTTTACATCTATGTTCATCAGAGATAACTGCTTTTAGTTTTCTTGTTTTGTAGTGTCTTTATCTGGTTTTGAAATCATGGTAGTGCTATCTTTGTAGAATGAATTTGGAAGCTTTCCTTCCATTTTTTGAAATAGTTTGAGAATAAAAGATGTTAAATCGTCTTTAAATGTCTGGTAAAATTCACCTGTGATGCCATCTGGTCCTAACTTTTGTTTGGAGGTTTTTGATTGCTGATTCAAATTTACTGCAAGCAATCAGTCTATTCAAATTTTCTTTGTCTTCAGGATTCAGTTTTGGAAGGTCATATATTTTTAGGAATTTATCCATTTCTTCGAGGTTGTCCAATTCGTTGCTATAAAATTTTTCATAATATTCTCTTATAATCCTTAGTATTTTTGAGTTATTTCTTCTTCATTTCTGATTTTGAGTCCTCTCCTATTTTTGATCAATCTGGATAAAGGTTTATCAATTTTGTTGATCTTTTCAAATAACTAGCTCCTGGCTTCATTGATCTGCTCTATAGTTTTTTTTTTCTTTTCTAATCTCTATTTCATTGATTCCTGCTATAATCTTTATTATTCCCTTCTTTCTACTGGCTTTGGCCTTTGTTCTTTCTGTATATCTTTTATGTGTAACGTTAGGTTCTTTATTTGAGCTTTTTCTTAGTTTATCAGGTAGATCTATATTGCCATAATCTTTCTTAAAGCAGCTTTGCTGGATCCCAAAGATTTTGGATCATTATGTTTTCATTTTCATTTGTCTCTATGTATTCCTTTTATTTCCCCTTTGATTTCTTGGTTGACCCATTCATTGTTTAATAGCATGTTATTTAGCCTCCGTGTACTTGTATTCATTCCAGATTCTTTTCTTGTGTTTGATTTCTGTTTTCATATCATTGTGGTCAGAAAGATTCATGATAGATTTCAATCGTTTTAAGTTTATGGAGACTTGTTTTGTGGCCTAACCTGTGATCTGTTCTGGAGAACATTCCATATACACTTGAAAATAATGTGTATTACACTATTCGGGGATGGATTGCTCTGAGTATATCTTTTAGATCCATCTGTTCCAGTGTTTCATTCAAAGCTATGGTTTCCTTGATTTTCTCTCTGGGTGATGTATCCATTGATGTAACTGAGGGTTATAGTCCCCTACTATCATTGTATTAATGTCAATTCTTTCCTTTATGTCTGTTAATAGTTGCTTTATGTATGTAGGTGCTCCTATATTGGATGCATATTTACAATGATTATATCCTCTTGTTGGATTGTTCCTTTTGTAATCATGTAATGTTCTTCTTTGTCTCCTGTTAGTTTTTGTTTTAATGTTTATTTTGTCTAAGTATTGGTACCCCAGCTTTCTTTTCACTTCCATTTGCACGGTAAATATCTTTCCACCCTGTCACTTTCCATTTGCATGTACCTTTAGTTCTGAAGGGAGGCTCCTGTAGGCGGCTTATCAATGGGGTTTGCTTCTTTTTTTTCTCTCTCTTTTTTTAAATTTTTTTTATTATTTTTATACTAAATTTATTTTTTATTGGTGTTCAATTTGCCAACATACAGAATAACACCTAGTGCTCATCCCGTCAAGTGCCCCCCTCAGTGCCTGTCACCCATTCACCCCCACCCCCTGCCCTCCTCCCCTTCCACCACCCCTAGTTCGTTTCCCAGAGTTAGGAGTCTTTATGTTCTATATCCATTCAGTGACTCTGTGTCTTTTGACCAGAGCATTTAGTTCATTTACATTCAAAGTAATTATTGATAGGTATGTACTTATTGCTATTTGTTACTTGTTTTATATGTATTTTTGTAGTTCTCTATTTTTTCTCTTGCTCTTTCCTTGTCTTTGATAGCTTTCTATAGTGATGTTTGTGTTCCTTTCTCTTAATTTTTTGTATATCTATTAGATATTTTTGATTTGTGGTTTCTTTTTGATTTCTATATATTTTCTTTTATTGAAGTTCGATTTGCCAGCATATAACTCCCAGTGTTTATCCCGTCAAGTGCCTGATGTCCATCGACAGATGAATGATTTGTGGTTTCTAATAACATACATATATCATAGCAGTTTATATTAATTTGATGATCAATTAAGCCTCCCACATTTTATGTATAATATGCCCTACTTCATGTCCTTTCATTTTGTGGATCCTTTTATATTTATAGATACACTTGGTCTTACTCCTTTTGCATTTTAACCTCCATAGTAGTTCTATAAATGATTTATCTATGGCTTTTATTTTGTTTGCATTTAACTGTGGAGTTTCTTTCCTTTCATAATTTCTTAACTCCTGATTATCATGTTTTCTTCCCAAAGAATACCCTTTAATGTTTCTTCTAAGGACGGTTTAGTCATGATGAACTGCTTTCTTTTTTGTTTGGGAAACTCTCTCTCTACTTCTATTCTGAATGATAGCCTTGCTGGATAGCCATGAAATGAGTATTCTTGGTTGCAGGTTTTTTCCTTTCATCTCTCTGAACATACCATGCCACTTCTTCCTGGCCTGCAAAGTTTCTGCTAAAAAATCAGCTGACAGCCTTATGGGATTTCCCTTGTATATAACTTTTCTCTTACTACTTTTAAAATTCTCTATCACTACTATTTTGCTACTTTAATAATTATATGCATTGGTATGAATCTCCTTGGGTTGATTTTCTTGGGGACTCTGTGCCTCCTGGATCTGAATATCTATTTCCTTCCCCAGATTAGGGAAGTTTTCAACTATTATTTGTTCAAATAAATGTTTTGTCTCCTTCTCTTTTCTCTTTTTGAGATCTGTGTAATGTGAATTTTATTAGATTTGATAACATCACTGAGTTCCCTAAACATATTCTCATTTTTAATTATTTTTTTCTTTTTCCTGTTCAGCTTTATTGCTTTCCATTATTCTTTTAGCTCACTGATCTGTTCTTCTGTCTCCTCTAATCTATTGATTCCCTATAGTCTATTTTTCATTTCAATTATTGAATTATTCATCTCATTGGTTCTTTTTTGTTTTCTATTTCTTTGTGGAAAGTTTCCCTGAGATTTTCCACTTTTCTCAAGTCCAGTATCTCTATGACCATTAGTTTAAATATATTATCAGGTATCTTGCTTATATCCATTTAATTTAGCTCTTTTGCTGTGGTTTTGTACTGGTCTTTCATTTGAGATATATTCCTCTTATTTTGTCTAACTTTGTTTGTTTATATGTCTTAGGGAAATCAGTTATGTCTCTATACTGTCTTGAATGTAGTGGCCTTACAAAAAAGAGGTCCTATGGTGCCCTGTAGCACTGTGCCCCCTGTTCACCAGAACCAGGTGCTTCATCAGTATCTTCTATGTGGTTTTTGTGTGCCCTACTATTGTGGCCAAGCCTCATTTGCTTTAAGTCCAGTTGGCTGCAGTGACCTGCTTTGATTATTGTGGGCCATAATTGGTCCTATGCTGTTAAGGGGCCATTTTGTGGCTGTAGGCTTATAGTTGGGCATTGTCAACAATCAGGTCAAATGTCTGTCTTAAGCCCAGTTTGCTAGGGCAGAAGCCATACCAGACTGCAGAGTGCTTTTCTTGTGTTGTCTCCTAAGAGGCTTATGTTGGTAGGCAGAGGCTGCAAACAAATCAGATGCTATTACCAGTTTGCTCGTAAGCATTGTGGTAGCACCAACCTGCAGGGTGCTCTTCCTGCCTTGGACCTTGAGAGGCTTTTCCTATTAGACAGGGCTGGAAAACCAAATGCCTGCCCCCAATGTGCCATGGTTGCAGTGACCCCAAACTGCAGGAATCTCTCACCATGCTTCCTCTGAGAGTTTTTTGTTGGTGGATGGAACCAGTTATCATATCAGATGCCTGCCCCAGTCCATCTACTGGTCCTGCAGACCCCCTGCTGATCAGGGCACTCTCTCTGCACTGCTAGTTATAAGGTTTGGATGCTAGGGCTACAGTCAAACTGATATGTGTGATTATCTTTCCCTTTCCTCAGGGCAGGAGTCATTTTGTACTGGTGCAAGTCACTGCCAGAGCTGCTTGAATAAGACATGACAGGAGCTATTTTGGAGGGACTCTTGCCGAGTGGGGTGGATTGGATGGAAGGAATCCAAAGGAGAATGTGGGGTGGGATGCACAGTATTAACAAGGTAGGTGCAGCATACCCCCTGTTTCCCACAAGTATCCAGCTATATAGGCTGTGAGGTAGGGAGTCGGGGAAGAGAGAAATGGCTACCACCAGCTCTTTTATTCTTAAAGTAGTGACCTAAAGATCCCTGCTCTTCCAGCACATATTCTGAGATTTGTAAATAAATCTTGGATATCCTAGGTATTTTTCATACTGCTGCTTCTATGCTGTATCTTGGCAGGATTGTTTGTTATACTGTCTCTTTAAGGATGGGGACTCCATTTCTTACTGCCCTCTCACTCTCAGTGCTAAACCCACTGATTTTTAAAGTTCCTGGATTATAGGGGAAAGGAGAGAAAATGAGTGGGGGAAATTAGAGAGGATGACAAAACATCAGAGACTCCTAACTCTGGGAAATGAACAAGGGGTAGTGGAAGGGGAGGTGGGCAGGGGGATGGGGTGACTGGATGATGGGCACTGAGGGGGGCACTTGATGGGATAAGCACTGGGTGTTATACTATATGTTGGCAAATCGAACTCCAATTAAAAAAAAAGTTCCTGTAGTTAAGCCTAGGTGGTTATAAAAACTTAGGAAGTTAACCTCCTTGGTTTTCAAAGCCAAATGTTATGGGTACTTGTCTCCAATGCAGATCCCCCATGCCTGGGCTGCCTGGGGTGGAGTCTGAGCCTCTTCCTTCTATGTGCTTGAGGCGTCCTTCCCTTTTGTGATTAGTCTCCCCAGGAATTTGGTTATTGACCTTCTCTATGCCTCTCCTACCCTTTTTTTTAAAGATTTATTTATTTATTCATGAGAGATACAGAGAGAGAGGGCAGAGACATAGGCAGAGGGAGGGAGCCTGATATGGGACTAGATCCTGGATGCCAGGATCACACCCTGAGCCAAAGGCAGGGGCTCAACCACTGAGCCACCCAGGTGTCCCTCTCCTACTCTTATTGATGTGGCATCCTCTCCTTGATTAACTGGAATGTCTGTTCTGCTAGAGTTTGGGGTCATTTTCTGGGTTGGTCCACAGATATGGTTGTTTTCTAGTTGTGTCCCTGTGACAAAATGAACTTAGGAGGCTCCAACTCCTCCCTACTTACCAGAAGTGATTTTTATGCTATTCTTATATTCATACCATGGACCTATTTTATGGGTAATATTGCCTTCTAATATCCCTCTTGCTTGTCTCTGTTTATAGCAAAGTGGTGTATAGTATGGTTGTGGACAATGTAGAAATCAATTTTTGATTAAATATAATTTAAATATGAAAGGAACCAAACGTCTAGGGTTACTGTTCCTCTCCGTACTACTCATGATAGATTATACCAATTTCATTAAGTTTAGAAATGGTAAATTCAGTGGGTAAGATAAACAGGGAGGCTGAAATTGACAACTCTGTGACTCTGAAATCACTTGAGAAAGACGGAGTTCAACAGACAAGGGAAGAAAACCAGATTTTATACAGGTATAAAACGGAGACTGACTAGCCATGTAAAACAGCAAAAAAAAATATCTAAATTTTAACTATACTTAAATACCAGACCTGGACTAAAAATACGAGCATGATACTATCAAATACATGAAAAAGCCAAGATGTACAAAAATAACCTGCAAAATGGGATAATGGGAAAAAAAATTTTAGTCCCAGGTGTCCTCTGTATTTTTAAAGCTTTTATTTTTTTTAAAGATTTTATTTATCCATGTGAGAGCAAGCCTGGGTACTAGTGGGAGGAGGGGCAGAGGGAGAGGGAAAGCAGGGAGCCCGATGAAAGGGGGATCGTGACCCAGCTGAAGGCAGATGCTTAACCAGCTGAGCCACGGAGGCACCCAACATTCTCTAGATTTTATTGAAATTATTTAATGAGTTAGAATCTAAGGCTTAAAGGAAAAGTTGGGGTTCCCCCCTTAACAATACCAGATGAAGGATTTCTGCCTGACTTAATATGTGTTAGATGTGGTTCTTTATAAGGTTTTTCATAATGTACCAGACTGGTTTTGTTCACGGATGTCACTTGAATATATCTGAAAATTTAACCAGAGAACATTCCAAAATAAAATCTTAATTAGAAAATAAATATATATATATATATATAATTTAAATATAATCCATATGAATATCTGATTTGAAGATCTATTTTAATTGGAATAAAGAAAATATTTTGAGGTTATGTTCAGAAGGTGGGATAAATTATCTAATTTACACTCTTAAATATTTAATGAAGATAATGATAACATATAGAATATCTTTACTAAATATAATACATACCTGACTTAATCTCTTCAGCATTTCAGCTCCAATACCTAGACCTTTTAAAATATATAATGGAAAATGAACCATGTTTAAAAAATCCACTTAACAAATTTATTTGCTTTAATCTTAAGTAAAATATAAACCCTATATCAGGAAGCCTGGGTGGCTCAGTGGTTGAGCCTCTGCCTTCCGCTCAGTGTGTGATTCTGGTGTCCTGGGATTGAGTCCCACATTGGGTGCCCTGCACAGAGCCTTCTTCTCTCTCTGACTGTCTCTGCCTTTCTGTGTCTCTCATGAAAAAATAAATAAAATCTTTAAAAAACACATGTATCTGGCTGTTATATATTAAGAGCTTGTGTTATAACTCAACTCATTAATATTTTTAATATCTTCCTCCTAATTGTAATATGGTTCCAAAGGTAATAGAAGAGATTTTGGATTTAAAGATTGATGAAGCAGAAATGAGTCACTGTCACTATCATAATATATTTCTTACTCACTTTCAGACAAAACAGCCTAAAACATAAATGCATTTCTTTTAAAGATAAAAGGATAGCTACAGGGCACCTGGGTGAATCAGTAGATTGGGCTTCTGCCTATGGCTCAGGTCATGGTCCCACGGTCCTGGGATTGAGCCCTGTGTTGGGCTCCCTCCTCAGTGGGGAGCCTGGTTTTCCCTCTTCCTCTGCCCATTCCCCTGCTTGTGTGCTCTCACTCTCTCAAATAAATAAAATCCTTTTTAAAAAAAGGATAGCTGGGACACCTGGGTGGCTCAGTGGTTGAGCATCTGCCTTCGGCTCAGGGCGTGATCCCATAGTCCCGGGATCGAGTCCCACATCGGGCTCCCTGCATGGAGCCTGCTTCTCCCTCTGCCTATGTCTCTGCCTGCCTCTCTCTGTGTCTCTCATGAATAGATAAATAAAATCTTTTAAAAAAGGATAGCTGTGATAATTTGGCTTATTCAGGCCTTTATAGGAACTAATGGAAAGTCCTTTCCAAATCTGTGGTTGAGTTTTTACCATATGCAAGGATAACTAGGATAATGATCAGGGTCATGAAATAGAAGTGAGTTATATTAACTAACTGAAATACCATATTTATACTGAAGCCCTATCCTTAAAATATGCCATTTTAATTTTTAAACTATAAGTAATAATTTAAGTGTAGCTTGACCTCGGTAAGCTTGTATGACATAAAAATCCTCTAGGTAAAGTAACTTGCCAATCCAGGGGTCGTATGTAAAGTAGTACATGGCAAATCCAACAGTCACTTTGCCTAGAAGAGGGAAGAGAGGGTACAATGAGGCTAAGGCTTTGAATCATTGAGTGGTCTTTCCTCTAAAATTGAATATCTTAGAGTTTTCTTTAAGTATTAAAGTAATAAAAGCTTACTGGACAAAATGTCAAACAATATGAAAATATATAATGTAGGTTTAAGTCCCATATAACACAATCCTAAAAAGATAAGCCATCTTTTAACAATGTATATTCTTCCAAATTTTTTCCTATGCATATACAAGTATATACCACACATTTTCTTTCTTAAAAAATGAATTTATGTACTTATACTCTCCTATTCTATTTAATAGTAAGTCTATACTATCAAACTGTTCATTTTCAGGATAGAGAAAGTATACTACAGATTAAATTGGAAGAAGCAGATTTATTTTACCTAATGGTTTTTGTTGACTGTGTACTTCTGCAATCAGGCAGTAGAAAAGGGGATTGTCCCCAAAGCCATCCCTGAGTAAATCTGAAATATAAATTCATAAATAATGTATTAGAAATATTAGAAAGTTTATAGTAAAAAAAGAAAGGTTATAGTAAAGAAAAGGAAGGTGGTAAAGTAGGCAGCACTAGGAATTCATCTTTTCACCTGTACAACTGTACTGGCAGTGAATATTTTGGAACTCTAGAGTTTTTTGAACACTTGGAACTTCTAGAGTACAGCTCGGCTGGTAAATTGCAGTTAAATTCAGCTATCAGCCCATAGTGGCTTACAAGTCTCCCCTGCCCCTTTGCCTCATGGCAGCAGCTGTACGGTCAATAACATGAATTGCTGAGTGTCTTTCTGGAGCCAGGATAGGCATTCGGGAACTTATCCTCCAAATACTGGAGTTCTGTGTTCTGATCATGGATTGTTACTCTGAATGCTGAGGTGAGAGCTTAGAAGTTAGCCACAATTTTTCCAACCTTCACCAATAAAAGCAGCTTCCAGATGTAAAAAGAACCATATTTGTTTTGACATTTAAAACCAACCACATATATAGAGAATTTAGAAAGCTACCATGTATAACTAGGAAAAGATACAGACTTAGAAAAGGCCTTAGAACACCTTAAACATGTAACTTATGCTGATCTCTGACACAGACACCCCATAACGATAAAAAGAAAAAAACAACAGCCATCCCTGGGGAAGGGGGAGAATTTTATTTCCAGAGTTAACATATTTTAAGATTAAAATGTCGAGGGCAGCCCCGGTAGCTCAGCGGTTTAGCGCCGCCTTCAGCCCAGGGCCTGATCCTGGAGTCCTGAGATCGAGTCCCACGTCAGACTTCCTCCTGCATGGGGCCTGCTTCTCCCTCTGCCTGTGTCTCTGTCTCTATCTCTCTATCTCTCTCTCATGAATAAATAAATAAAATCTTTAAACAAAAGATTAAAATGTCCACTTTTCAACAAGTCACAAGGCATATAAAAAAATCGGAAACTATGCCCCATTCAAAAGAATGAAGTAAGTCAATAGAAAATATACCTAAGGAAGGCCACATGTACTAAACCAAGACTAAAACAACTGTCTTAAAGATGATAAGAGAGCTAAAGGAAAGACATGCACAAAAACAGGGACCAAATGTATGAACAAAATAAGAATCTCAGTAACAAAATACAAATTATAAAAAAGAAGCCCCACCAAAAAATTCTGAAGGTGATAAGCATAATAATTGAAGTGGCAAATGCACTGTAGAGGTTCAAAATCAAAACTGAGCTAACAGAAGAAAAAAAATCAGTGAATTTGAATATTAGGACAATTGAAATTACCAAGTCAGGAACTGAAATAAAAACAAGAGGAAAAGTAAACGGCTTAGGGGCTTTATTGAACTCTATCAAGTGGGCCAATATACACATTATAAGGCAGAATTTCAAAAGGATAAGAGACAGGAAAAAAGAATATTTGAAGAAATGGTGGCTGAAAACTTCCCAAATTGGAATCAATTAATGAATCTACAAATCCAAGCTCAACAAACTCCCAAGTAGTATAAATTGAAAAAGAACACCACCAAGACACATAATCAAACTGCTAAAAGACAAAAAAGAATCTTGAAAGCAGTAAGAGAGAAGGATCTTGTCACATACAGTGGATCATCATTAGGATTATCATCTGATTTTTCATCAGAAACCCTGGACACCCGAAGGCAGTGGGTTGATCTATTCAAAGTGCTGGGGGGAACCTATCAACTGAGAATTCTATCTCTACCAAAAGTGCCCTTCACAAATGAGGGAGAAATTGAGACATCTCCAGATCACCACCAAAAACAAAACCTGAGGGATTTCATTATAATTAGACCCTGCCCTGTATAAAATGCTAGAAGTCCTTCAGATTGACATGAAAGAAAACTAGATAGTAACTCAAAACCACATAAAGAAATAAAAGATAAAAGTAAAGGTACCTAGTTAAAGGTAAATACATGAACACTTATAAGGACTAGAGTCATTTTAATTTCATTTATAACTCTGCTTTTTATTTCCTACATGATTTAAAGACAAATGCATAAAATTGATTATTAATGTATGTTATTGGGTACACAGTATACAAAGATGTAATCTCTAACATCAATAATATAAAAGAAGGGAAATGGAGATGTACAAAAGAATTTTGTATGCTATTGGAATTAAGCTGATATAAATTCAAATTAGATTATTATAACTTTAGAATGTTAAAAGTAATCTCCATAGCCACAAATAAAATATCTATAAAATTTACACATAAGGAAATGAGAAGGGAATAAAAATATTTCAATACAAAAATCAACAAAACACAAAAGAAGGTAGCAATGGAGGAAATGTACAAAAAGGCTATGGCATATAGAAAACAGCAAAATGGCAGAAGTCCCTCCTCAGTAATTAAATGTAAATGGATTAAGCAATCTAATCAAAAGACAAAGATGAGCAGAATGGATTAAAAAATATGATCCAACTATATACTGTCTATAGGAGACTCACTTTAGATTTAAACACACATAGACACACCGAAAAGTTGATAGTGAAATAATGGAAAAATGATGTTTCATCCAAATAATAGCCAAAAGAGAGCTGAGGTGGGTGTACCATATCAGACACAATAAACTTTTAAGTTAGAACTGTTAAAAGAGACAAATAATGAGGTTATTTGATAATAAAAGGATCAATTCACCAAGAAGATAAACATTTATAAACATTTATGAACCAATCTCAGAGCACCAAAATATATGAAGCAAATACTGACAGAGTTGAAGATAGAAAAATAGCTCTACAATAAGAGTTGGAAATGTCAAATCTTCAATTTCAGTAATATATTTAACAACCAGACAGAAGATAAATAACTTACTAGATTATTTGAACAATATAATCAAATGGACCTAAAATACACAGTATATTACACCAAACAGCAACACAATGCACATTTTTCTCAAATGCACATGGAACTTTCTCTAGGATAGACCATATCTTAGGCCAAAAAACAAGTCAATAAAATTTGAAAGAGTGAAATCATATAAGTATCTTTTCTAATCATAGTGGAATGAAACTAGAAATCAACAGCAGAAGGAAACTAGGAATATCATGTATTGTAGAAATTAATGCACTCTTAACCACTAGGTCAAAGAAGAAATTACAAGGGAAATTAGAAAACAGAGATGAATGAAAGTGAAAATACAACATATGAAACTTATGGAGTGTAGTGAAAACAGTGCTTGGAAACTTACACCTATAAATGCCTACATTTAAAAAGATCTCAAGCAATAACCTAACCTTATACCTTAAGAAACTAGAAAAAAGGAGCAAACTAAGCCCAAAGCTAATAGAAGAGAGGTAATAATAAAGTTTAGAGCAGAGATAAACAAAATAAAGGGTGAAAAATTACAATAGAGAAAAATCAGTAATACCAAAAGTTGGATTTTTGAAAATATCAATAAATTGACAACTAGACTGACAAGAAAGAAGATGCAAGTAATTAAAGTCAAAAATAAAATAACAGGGCAGCCCAGATGGCTCAGTGGTTTAGCGCCACCTTCAGGCCAGAGTGTGATCCTGGAGACCCTAGGATCAAGTCCCACGTCAGGCTCCCTGCATGGAGCCTGCTTCTCCCTCTGCCTGTGTCTCTGCCTCTCTGTGTCTCTCATGAATAAAAAAATAAAATCTTTTAAAAAAAGAAATAAAACAACACTACTACTAACATTACAGAGATGAAAAGGTTTATAACTAAATATTATGAACTTTACACCAAGAAATTAGATAACATAGAAGAAATGAACAAATTCCTTTAAAATTACAAATGACCTAAACTGATTAAAGAAAAAATATGAGCAGACCTGTAACAAGAGTTTGAATCAGTAATCAAAATATTTCTCAACAAAGAAAAGTTAGGAACCATGAGATGATTTCTCTGGTGAGTTCTATCAAACATTTAAAGAAGAATTAACACAATCCTTAAACTCTTCCAAAACTTTTGAAGAGGAAGAAACGTCCTAACTTATTCTATGAAGTCACTATTACTTTGATAGCAAAGACAAGTAAACACATCACAAGAGGTGACCCTGGGTGGCTCAGTTAAGCATCTGCCTTCGGCTCAGGTCATGTTCTCAGGGTCCTGGGATAGAGCCCCACTGGACTCCACACTCAGCAGAGGAGTCTGCTTTTCCCTCTCCCTCTGCCCCTCCCCCCAACTTGTTCTCTCTCTGGTCTCTCTCTTAAATAAATAAAAAAATATTAAAAAATACATCACAAGAAGAGGCGGGGCAAGATGGCAGAAGAGTAGGGTTCCCCAAGTCACCTGTCCCCACCAAATTACCTAGATAACTTTCAAATCATCCTGAAAACCTAAGAATACGTCTTGAAATTTAAAGAGAGAACAGCTGGAATGCTGCAGTGAGAAGAGTTTGCGCTTCTTTCAAGGTAGGAAGATGGGGGAAAAAAGAAATAAAAGGCATCCAAGGGGGAGGGGCCCACGAGGAGTGGGGCTAAGGCCCTGGCAAGTGCCCCCAGGACAGGAAAGCCCCGTCCTGGAGAAGCAGGAGCTTCACCAATCTTGCCGGTAGGAAAGGCTTAGGAAAGGCACTCCCAGGGAACTCCGACAGGATCCCAGGAGGGCGGGGATGCCCTCAGGCTCCCAGGGGCACTAACAGAGCACGTGTGCCCCAGGGAGAGCACGCCACACCCCGCGGCCTAGCTCGCTAAATGGCTGCAGCTCACGCCGGGCTGGAACCAGGAGCAGCTCGGAGGCGGCTCCAGCAGAGGCTCCGCGCAGAAGGAGCTGCGAGGCACGGAGCGTGATTCCAATAGCACAGGCCCCGGAACCCAGGGTGCCGGGGGACACAGCCCAAGATCCGGCAATCACCCCTGGGACAGGCAGAAGACGGGAGGGCACAGAACAGCAAGGAAACTCAGGCTGCCCCAAGCTGTGCAGATCAGCGGCCCGCACGCTGGAGCATACAGGCCCCTGCAGACTGACAACTCCATAGTTACTGTGGGAGCTGACTACAAGGCTGGAGAGCTGGCCGC